GGGTGTCCACTGTAGAGGGTACACAGCAGAGAATGTTTGCCTTCCCAGCAGGCCAAGCAGCTCCACGGGGGCAGCTCAGCAGGAGGTCAGAGTGGAAGGGGCACAGGGAGAGAGAGAGGAGGGGACTACAACTAAAAAAGAGGAAAAGAGTGATTTTTCAAGCTTTGAGTTGCAGGCACCTACAGGCGGAGGTGGGGGGATTCTTGCAGACATGAAGCAGCTGGTGAAGCAGGAGACTCTCACTGACTTTCCACTTGATCATGCTCATAAAAGGCTGCTTGAAAAGGCATTCCTTAAGTACCACCCTGCCACAGTTGTCGTTCAAAACCCCTCTCGATCTACTGCACTGTGAGGTTAAAAAAAAAACCACCCAGACAGAGAAAAGCAAAGAAATGAGGGAGAGCTGAGAAAGAGACAGGCTCATTCTCCCTTTTTAGCCCTTCTTTTAAGCAGCTTTGATTGACTGGTTGCCTGCAAAGCACCTCAGTCTGCTGAAGAAGTACATTAACTATTTTCTGGTCTCATCAGCAAATCTAGTATTATCAATGATTCATTATGTTGTCAGGAGTAAATCTTGCCTACAGAAGGCTGGTTCTCCTCTCTGAGTCACCAGAAGAGCAGAAGGTTGAGAGAACAGCCTTGGGTTCAGGATCAAAGAACCTCTACGTTTTGTTTCAGTGAGTTCAAAACTGAAAACTTTATCAGAAACTGAAAATCTTACTTGGACAATAAGAACTAAGTTAATTGCTCTTCAGTCTGCCTTATATAAAACCCCTTTGTCACTTGTTTAAATTAAAATAAACTCGGTTTTTCCTTAGGATGTCTGAGCTGCCACAGCTAGATGAGTCTGACAGCCCTCATCAGACAGTAAAGAAACAGAGGATGGGTGCATGGGGGAGGAATGGCACAAAAGCCCATCTATTTACTTCAGTTTTTTGCTCTAGCTTAGCTTACTTGATCCACTGATTTTCAGAGCAAAACTTCAAATATTTGTTTATATGACACGGCCTCACTTCATTAACTTTGAGAGTAGTGAGGGCGGCCCCTGAAAACCCCATTCTGTGAAAGGCAGGCAGCACGTGAAAGGTAAACACGTTCTGCATTCAGAATCGCAGGGCTCACTTAGTCTCCTTATCTCTGTGATGAGGTGCTTTCCTCCTCCAGCTGTCAGGATACAGGTCTCTGCACTTCCCCAAACAAACCTGCCAAGAGTAGCACACATGTGCAACAACAACACGGTGGCCAGACTCCACTTCAGCAAAGACTGTTTTTCTTTTTTCAAGCACCACTTTGAGTGCTTCTTGTTTGGTTTGCTGATAACAGTCATGTTTGGGAACATGTGGTCCATATGAGTTCAATTTTCCCAGTATGTGATTGCAAGGCAGTGCAGTCAAGCATTCACAGTAGTCCCTACCACTTGTTCCTCCACCCACTTTGACAATCCATCTGATAAGGAAGCCATTCTAGCTCTCATCAGGTTCCGTTATGTAAGGGCTGATTTGGTGAGTGGTGATGTTACAGGAAGTCTAATTGGTCCAGCACAAATCATGCCCAAATACTTTCTGCAGATACATGCTGGGGTTTTCATTTTTTTAAAGTAATGAGTAAATGGCTTGTCTTTGCCGGATAAAGCCTTAAGAACCTGCACAAGGTGAAATATGTTGTGACGTGAAACCATAGTCCCATGAAAATCACATTATTAAAAACAGGAAATCTGTAGGTCAGGACAACCCTGTTTTCTAGTGCAGTCTCTGAGTGGCCCACATGAACCAGAGACTTAATTAAGTTTCACAGTCATCTGCCTGTGTCATTTGTTAGTCTATTCTCCAGACAGTTTGTTCCTCTGAAAATACTACTGATATTGCATAGATTGTGTCTGCTCCAAATGTAATGAATCTGCACATAGGAATCGAAGTTAAAGAAACAAAAAACTGTGAGGATGAGAGAAAAGAAAAGATGCTTACAGATGCAAACACATCAACTACACAAAGTTATGCATTTATGAATAGCTAATTGACTCCCGTTTGGCAATCTGTATATTTAGCAACTGCTAAATGAAAGCGCAGAGCTAATTTGCAAACAGTTCATCGATGGATCACTAAACACAAAGGCGGCCCTTGTTTCAACTTGGCAAAAAGCTGCCTTCCTGGAGTCCACAGGGACTAAATACTTTTTACTGCATGTGTTTAGACACAGGAAATCCATTCCTGACTGTTTTAATTAACACAAGCATTGGTACTGCTACCCTCCTCCGCATGTCTCTTCCTCACTCTCTTCTAGCATAAGATCTTAAAGTTTAATGGCGCTGAGCTCACAGAAAAAAGTGTCAAGGATTAGCCAGCCTCTACAAGACAGCAGGATTCAGTCTGCCACTAATCTCTGACAGCAGTAAAATACAGTTTAAAGTAGGATTGGAATCAAAACCAAACCCTTCTAACAGTTACGGGGGGTCCAAGTTTAGGATGACACATGGATACAGTAACAGGACCCAGCAAAGCCCTGTACTCTCCAAAGCCCTGCAGCATAAACAAACAGCTGAGACAGAGCAAAGCAGAGGCACCACCAAATCCACAGAAACCACACACACACACACACACACACACACACACACACAGACAATGAGAATGAGGCAGTCTGCCCAGGCAAGGCTCACCTTAGGGCACTCAAACTGACACAGACTCAACACATTAATGCTCGTCTCCAGTTTCACTGGCTGAAACTATCTGACAGCTGATTAGCCACTTAGCCTTTTGTAGGATGTCAGAATTTGCAGTTTACCACTTAGATAGAAGCAGCAACTGTTACTGAAAGATCCAGGTTAAAAGGGCAATTTTACCTCATTTCGAATTTTACTTATTTCTTTCCAACATTAGCAGACTGACTAAAATAAGCTGAGACTTGGCCTTTCATATAACTCATTTTTGTATTCTTTCTCACTTCTTTAGAGGGTGACAGGACTTTAAGAATATAAGAGTCGCTAACTTTTTAACACAGACATTTTTATTTGTGTGTGTAAGGTACCTAATGGGTTTTCCTTCGGTGCTTTCAGCAGTAGTATGGTAATTTCAATCAGTATTATATCCTGGTAACTTCATTCTACAAAGATGAGAAGTGAGG